TATACTGATTTTTGAGAAAACATGTGTACAAAAAGTATTGACACATAAAAAAAGTGTCGATACATCTTGTCCCGATTGTATTTTAAAACCTAAGTGCACAACAAAGTGTCGATACATTTATAATAAGTGTCGATCCCGAAAACATCGAAAAACATAATTATAATGTAATAGGTAAATTATTAATGTAACAAGTCTAAATATACCGATTTTTGAGAAAACATGTGTACAAAAAATATCGACACAAATAAAAAAAAGTGTCGATACATCTTGTCCAGGTTGTATTTTAAAAACCAAGTGCACAACAAAGTGTCGATACATTTATAACAAGTATCGATTCCAAAAATATCGAAAAACATAATTATAATGTAATAGGTAAATTATTAATGCAACCGGTCTAAATATACCGGTTTTTGAGAAAACAAATGTACAAAAAGTATCGACACAAATAAAAAAAGTGTCGATACATCTTGTCCAGATTGAATTTTAAAAACCAAGTACACAACAAAGTGTCGATACATTTATAACAAGTTTCGATCCCGAAAACATCGAAAAACATAATTATAATGTAATATGTAAATTATTAATGTATCCGGTCTAAATATACCGGTTTTTGAGAAAACAGGTGTACAAAAAGCATCGACACAAATAAAAAAAAATGTCGATACATCTTGTCCAGATTCTATTTTAAAAACCAAGTGCACAACAAAGTGTCGATACATTTATAACAAGTGTCGATCCCGAAAATATCGAAAAACATAATTATAATGTAATATGTAAATTATTAATGTAACCGGTCTAAATATACCGGTTTTTGAGAAAACAGGTGTATAAAAAGTATCGACACAAATAAAAAAAGTGTCGATACATCTTGTCCAGATTGTATTTTAAAAATCAAGTGCATAACAAAGTGTCGATACATTTATAACAAGTATCGATCCCGAAAACATCGAAAAACATAATTATAATGTAATAGGTAAATTATTAATGTAACCGGTCTAAATATACCGGTTTTTGAAAAAACAAGTGTACAAAAAGTATTGACACATAAAAAAAATATCGATAAATCTTGTCCAGATTGTATTTTAAAAACTAAGGGCATAACAAAGTTTCGATACATTTATAACAATTATCGATCCCAAAAACATCGAAAAACATAATTATAACCAAATGTCTCTAACATCATGTGTTGGACTGAATAACCATTCCATTTCGTCTTCAAAAAAATCAGTTGAAATAGACTGCGTGCTTGTATTCAAACCCAGCTTGACTTGAGGACATGTTAGTTTGTTATGTCCCTCACCGTTGCAGAACCCACATCGCCTAATCTTCTTCTCGACCTTGTTCTTTGTTACTTCTTTTGGCTTGCGTTGTTTCCATTGAGGGTCGCGAACGTTGTTTAATACACTGCTCCGATTGACTGAATCATTCAAACCAAACGAGTTCTCAAATTCTTCTGTTAGTCTTTTCATCTCATCTCTTGCGGTTTTGAAAGACGTGTCTGTCTTTGATGCAGCGTAGCATGACATACTTGTTGTTGCACGTAGAGAAGCAAACTTTGCCATTTGCATTATTTCTTGAGGCACATTAAAATCAACAAAACTGGGTGCAGAAGCATTCGCATCCTTAGTGCATTGTAGATGTCTTTATGTGTAAATCCAGCATTATGATAGCCCCCTGCCTGCTGCGTTAAATAGTTCATTACTTGTGACGTGCCAATACCGACATCTTTCAATGTTGTTGCCTCATCAATATCAGCCTTACTTACAGCTCTATTAGAACGCATAAATGGTGTCATAGTAGGTGTGCACAATGCATGATTATGTTTCTGATAAGACTTACTTATAACTCACTGATCGTTTGTATTTGTTGTTGTACTATGACTCTAGCCTTGCATCTTGTTCTTGTGATTAGATTATGAGCACGTTGACGATCAACGGTATTGACTTTTAATTCTTGTGTCTTCACATTCCCTTCCATGTCAAGCCGTGTTGTTCCCCGACGTGCACTAAACCCATGTTCCTGTACGAATCCCTTATAAAAGTACCAAGCTTGATCACGTGAAGAGAATAACTTATCAACCAATATGTTAGATTCATCAACATTATGTACTTCATGGCATTCATCGGTTGGCTTAACATTGTCTGCATCAGTATGACCATTGGCAAAAATTTTGTTGTGCAATTTCAGTGGTCTCAACAGGAGTTGATGGAGATGTAAGTAAAGGTTCATTGAACAACATGTTTTCAGTGGTGCTTTCAATAGGATGTGGTATTGATAGTGGTAGTTGAAGGGTGGGTACAACATTAAATTTACAGGACATATTCAGGTATGTACAATAACTACAATATTTAATAACTTTAAAGTAATAGGTAAAATTACAATGTAGGTGGTAAAAATATACTTTTTAATGACAATTAGTAAACACAAATATTTGTTTCGATACATATGTAATCATATGTGTCGATACATTTCCTAAAAGTATCGACCCCAAAAACATCGAAACAAATAATTATAATGTAATAGGTAAATTAACAATGTAACCAGTATACATATACCGGTTAATTATAAAACAGGTCAACATAACGTATCGACACTATTATAATTTGTGTCGATCCTTATTGTCTACAATGAATGGCCAAACGACAGGCACACATAAAGTGTCGATACATTTACAATGTAACCGACAGAAATATACCGGGTTAATGAGAGAATAGGTCAACATAAAGTATCAATACTTTTTAAATTTGTGTCGATACTTTTTTCCAAAAGAAAGCACAAACAGGTTCACGCATAAAGTGTCGATACATTTAAAATTGTATCGATCCCAAAAACATCGAAACCGATAATTATAATGTAATATGTCAATTTACAAAGTAACCGGTTGAAATTTATCGGTTTTATGAGAAAATAGGTCAATATAAGCGCTACCTATTACATTATATAAGCATTACCTAATATGTTATTGTACTTGATAATATTTCCGGTTAAATGCCTATTTTATTATATAAGCGTTACCTATTACATTATATAAGCGCTACCTAATATATTATTGTACTTGATAATATTTCCGGTTAAATGTCTATTTTATTATATAAGCGCTACCTATTACATTATATAAGTGCTACCTAATATGTTATTGTGCTTGATAATATAATATAACATAACCGGTCTAAATTTTAACCGGTCACTTCTTTAATCGATCACGTCATTTTTTAGCCGTTTTTAGGCGCCGCATAACAGAATCACCCGTTTTTCAGAAACAAGTTTATAAAGAAAAATATTTAAAAGAACAAAAAAACAATAAATTTGCAGTGGTGCCAAGGCCAGGTTGCACCATTGGAAACTTGGATACTATATATATATATATATATATATATATATATATATATTGTTCTAAAATAGTGAGAAGTAATTTATATAAAGTATATTCTTAAGATGGTTCAAAAATAAAAATGAAATTCAATTATTTAAGATATTTTAATTCAGTTTTGAATTTATATTTTTTAAAGGCTTAAGTGTTACTTTTGTTCATGTAGTAGATTCAATTTTATCATTTTCGTCTCTATAATTTTTTTTGCATCAATTTAGCCCTCGAAGTTGTTTAGGGTATTCATCCTAGCTCTCGAATTCCGTTTTGACTAATTGAACTGTTAGCCTTCTGCGTATATCAACGTCAGTAATTTCCACATCAACTAATATTACTGACGTTGGCTCGATGATGACGTGACATTTATTAAAAAAAATAATAAAATATTTACTAAATACAACAATTAAAAAATTCCTCAAAAATTTGACTTAATCCTCTCATTCTAATAAATAATAAAATTTTAGGAATTTGTTCTAATCGTTTTATTTAATAAATATTTTAACATAATCCCTTAATCCACATATGTAGATGGCTCACAGTTCTGTTAGTCAAAACGTTCAACATACTTAAAGGGCTGTGGTGATGTCCCTAAACAACTTTGAGGGCTAAATTGAAGCAAAAAAAACCTTAGGGACAAAATTAATAAATTGAATCTACTGTAGTCCTTAAAACTTTTTTAAAATATAATACTACATATTAATTACTATTATTTTCTAAATGAAATGATTTTGTCTATTTTTTTAGAAAAAAATATTCATAGTTTGGTTCTTAAATTGTGTACAGTTTTTAGTTCTAGTTTTAAATTTTTTTTATCTCATTTTTATACCATTTACATAAAATTATTAAAATCAAAATTTCAATAAAAATATAATTTATGAACCAAGCGACATAGAAAGAGGAATATAATCCAAAATATTATATAAAAATATGTTTTTTTAATGGTTACAAAATCAAAATGTTAGACGAACACGGTTTGACTATTTAAGATACTTAATTGAGTTTTAAATTGAATTAAGAAAATCTTACAACTAATCATTATTATTTATTTTTTATAATTACTAATAAGATATTTACAACCTCAAGATTTAAATTTATGATCTTATTTAAAAAAATTGTCATTTCATTTTATTAAATTAATTGATAATTTATCTAAATTAACTAATAATTATTCAGATAATATTAAACATTTAAACATATTCAATTTCATGTTTTTTAGGTCATTTATGTACAAAAATATGATTAAAAAGTAATTTTTTATTAGTTAATAATAAACATTAAAAAAATCATACTGACAACGTGCTCGAATTAGATATCTTTAAAAATAATAATTATTTCTTAGCCAATGAGATGATTTAGTTTATGTAAAAAAATATAAAATCTAACGATCAGTTGATCTAGTGAGATGAAATATTAGATTTCTTAAAGAATGTTAGAAGTTTAAGTTCTGACGTTTACATATAAAACAAACTAAATTAAGATGATCACTCTATAATGAGTCTCTGTAAAACTCAACTTAAATTAGTCTGTCAATATATTATATACAAGTGATTAATTAAAATATATATAATTTTAAATTAGAAAGAGGGGCCAATATGACAGCTCATAAGGAAAAGCCTCTCTCTCTCTCTCTCTCTCTCTCTCTCTCATTGTCGCCCCACCTTCTGGCCATTTTAAAGTTTTTCACTTTCATTCCCTATCTTTGGGGTTCAGAAATGAAAAAACAGGGGAAAATCGATGCTGACATCGATGGAACCCTAATTGAACCTCTGAAACACCACCAAACCCACCACCAAAAGCAACAAGAGGAATCCGCCCTTCATCTTCCCTCCGAAGAATTTCTCGACGAGTTCCAGTGTTGCGTTTGCCTGTCAGTTTTCTTCTTCCTTTTCTTTTTCGAAATTCCCAATAACCCTAATTTCCCCTGTTTATAATCTTCTGTACGTTATTTATTTCTAATTTTTCATGGAAGATTTTAATCCGGAGGATTTTCACTTAGCAACTTTTAGGGACTACTTCGAATGTCTGTTAGGCATTGGAGGCGATTCCGTAGATTCGATATTACCGAATTGTTATTAAGATTTGAGACTCCAGACGTTTACGTTTTGGTTTCTTTGAAATTTTATTAGGTTGCTTTTTGTCTCTTTTTGTTTCTATATAAATTTAGACGGATTAAGATAGTGTTAGATAAAATTTCTTTTTTTGGACAAGCTTGGGGATATAATTGGATGCTGTAATTTTGACCTCAGCTCAGTGTATTTGTCTAAATAATGAGTTCTTTGGAAATTAGAAATGAGCTTATTCTTATTGAAGTTTATCTCAATAGAGATATAAACTTGGCAAAGGCTACCCACTGGAGTTCTGCATTCGATTGGTTTCGAACAGATTTTGGGACCCTTTAAATTTGGTATTTAGCATTAACTTCATGGTTTTCGAGTGGCTAGAAGAAAGTATACTTTTTTTTCAGAACTTTTGAAATTTGAATGAAAATGTGGTATTATTAATTTAGTTAAAAACTTGTTTACTTTAGTGCTTTGTTCTTTTGTTTACTGCCATGGTAACACATAGATCATTCTTTTGGTTATGCTTTCGGGCATTTTTTTCAAGCATTTTTTCGTGAATTATCATTGGAAAAAATCATATATCTATCAATGAGCAGAAGTGGATTATTTAGTCACCAATCTTTTATAGTTTACTACTTATGAGTTATGACAATTTGGGTGTGCTTGGTAGTGATTAGTTTATTGAAGCTCTTAGTTACATTTTTAAAGGTCATTTTATTGTGCAGGGAACTACTTTTCAAGCCTGTTGTATTAGGTAAGCCAGCAATGCTTGTAAGTTTTGACATGTGAATTTACCTGTAAGCTGCCTTTATGTTCCATCTTTTTGCAGCCTGTGGCCATATGTCATGCTTCTGGTGTGTCTACAATGCAATGAATCATGTTCACGAGTCCAATTGCCCCATTTGTCGGTGCCCATACAATCATTTCCCAAGCGTCTGTCAGTTGCTTCACTTTTTGCTCCTGAAGTTGTATCCTATAGCCTATAAGAGAAGGGAAAGACAAGTGAGAGGTATCTTTATTCTTTCTCCTTTTTTAAGTGCCAAGTATTTGTTAATAAATTATAAGTTTTCGCTAGAAAAAAATTATCATTTTTCTTAAAGCCCTACTGAAGTTTCTAAATATCCGGATTGTAGAAAAGTGGTTATTTTGATATGGATTTAATCTCTTCTATCCGGTAGCCAAAATAATAGTGGTATGATGGAGTTCAACTTTGCTTGTAAATACTGCGGATACTTTTATGCTGTACTAACCTGCTCCTGTAAAATCAGAATTTCCTTTGATAAATTAGTATGAAATAGTCTGCAAGGAAATGCTTAAGATGATGGAACTTTTAACCCAAGTCCTCTTTGGTAATTTGGAAGGATAGAATACACAGTGAGATGATATAAGCTCCCTGACTAAGATATTCTTCTTCTTATCAAGCGTGGAAGCATTTTTTCTCCCAATGACTCCCCCCCCTCCCCCGCCTTGCCACTTCAACAGATGGAAAATGATTTATTTTGTTTTTTCCTTGTTCAGAGGAAGAGAAGGCAGCCGGCCACTTCTCACTTCAATTTGATCAAAATTTACTTGAACCAAAGCTTTGTGAGGAGTCAGATATTTTGGGGAATAACAACACCCATTCTCATTTTCAAATGGTTGGGCATTCAAAAAGTGGTTATATGGATTCAGAATCATCCTCATTCAGAGATGCACCAAAAACAATTATGCAGGATGAAAATGGTATACCAATTAAACCGGTGCCATTTTCAGAGAGACCTGAAGTTTCTTCTGATGCTTCGAACCAAGGAAAGACTTTGCTAAGCTATGATTCCGAACATAAAGATCAAAAGGTGGTTTCTGTTGCAGATTTACTCTGTGCTGCATGCAATAGACTTCTCGTTCGACCAGTTGTTCTCAATTGCGGTCATGGTAGTTGCCATTTCGTTTAACCTGTTATGTCAAAAGTCAAAGGATTAGAAAATATTATTGTTGACTACATGCTTTGGCCTCTTTGGTGCAGTATATTGTGAATCTTGTTTTGTTATTCCATATGATGAAATGCCTAGATGTCAAGTATGTAAAAGCTTGCAACCAAATGGATTTCCTGGTGTTTGTTTGATTCTACACCATTTCTTGGAGAATCAGTTTCCTGAGGAATATTCGGAAAGACTCGAGGAACAAAATTGTCGGTATCCTGCTTTCAGAATCATTTATGATTTTTATATTATTTATTTTCAGTATCAGTTACCTTAGGGTGCTCTGATCATTTTATTTTTCTGTCATGCCTTACAAAATGATTTAACTTGAGCTGTATTTTCTTTTTTTAAGTTTCTTGTGGGAAACTTTTAAATATCTATTAACTTACTAGAGGCTAATTGTGGGAATTTTTTAAATATCTATTAACTTACTAGAGGCTAAGGATTTAATTTGTATTTTATCTTGTAGGCTTCGTTTTTTTTTCCACGAGTAAGAGTTTTAATTTAGTATAAGGATACTAAAACACATTTGAAATACAAATTTTCTGTATTCTATAACTTTTCCTGCTCGTCAAACCAGATGTTTGACTTACCTTGTGCAGTCATGATAGTCGTCAACTTGACTCAGTTGTGTTCAACTTTTTCTTGATTCTAATGATAACTCTCCAAAAGTGTTCTATAACTATTCCATTACTTTGTTTTTCCATTTTACTTGTTCTTTATTGCAACCTCTTTAATGGGTTACAAAAGCCACCAGCACATACAGCCACATTTTTATATGCATGTCTTAATGAGAACATCATTGGTCTTTTGGTCAATCCATGGTGCATTCCCCCAAAACTGCAGCTAAGCTTATTATGCCACGCAAATGCAATAATGATACAGTTACTTAACACCTTCAGGCTGTAGCTTCTTGTGCCGGTCTTGACTGTTTCTCAAATCCACATGCATATATGCGCACGCACGAAAAATTCTTTAATAGTTTGATTTTTCTTAGGAAGGAAATCTAAAGGTTGTCCTTTTCCTTTTCATTCTTAACCTGACAACTAGGCGTGCATGTATCTATATTTGTAATGTCAATGATGCGCTGCAATGGCTTGAACTTCATAGACCTTTTTGCTTCTTTGTCTTGCTTTTATTGTTTATGGTATAACTCATTTCTGCTGTTTGAGCTTAGGTTCAACACAAGCTCAGCGACATACAAACAGGGGGACATCAGTTTCTAGTGATGTCTACACATCGTCGTTTTTCGGAAATGGGCCTAAAGTTCATGTTGCAGTGGGCTGTGATTACTGTGGGGTAAGTTCGAATTAAAATTCATTAATTTACAGCATGGTGGCTTAACTTAATAGGTTTCCGGAAGAAACATTAATTATAAACTTATAATATTCCTTTAATTTATTTAATTGGTTGTATGAAAAGAGCAACTCTGTTATGAGACGTGATAATTTCGTTTTGCTATCAGAAGATGTGAAACAACCATTTAATGTCATCTACTATTAACTGGTTTTTTGAAAGGAAAAAAAAATTCTCTCTCTACCCCACTAATTACGTTTTCGATAATTTAACTGCTCGTATCACTTAGATTGAGATCTACAATTATTCATTTTTTGTCATTCTAGATATGTATCATGTTTACCAATTTAAATATAAAAGTTATTCTAGGTTTAGTTGTCATTTACTTGTATCGTTGCACTTTTAGGACTCTAGTGTTGTTATATGCCTTTAATGAAAGAAAGTTGATCAACTTGTTTATCATAGACTGACTTAACTTGTTACTAAGAAGTTCAATTCCTTACATTGATAATCTTGTTATTTATATATCTCAACATGAAGTTGGAGTAGGATTACAAGAATTAAGAATAAGCAATAACCAATGTCCGAAAATTGAGGAAATTTTACTAGTTTCTATAACACTTGCTAATAGTAAATGAACTTAAAAAACTGAGGGTATAGGCTGAAAGACAATTTCCTGAATTTAGGGATATAAGAAAGATGTATTGGAACAGTATGCTCACGGTTCGAAAAATTTTAAAACACCAGATGCCAAATAACATAGGCTGTAACATGCCAAGTCTCATTACGTTCGGTGCATTTCAGAAAATCTCTCATATTTGATGCCCCCTAGAATAGATATGGGTTGGTATGCAGTTTTGCAATTGCAAGCTTTATGGTTGTTTATTGCTATAGTAAGAAAAAACCCGTTTGACGAATGCCTATATCGTACTTTTCTGTTTCAGATGTCGCCGATAATCGGGGAGAGATACAGATGCAAAGACTGTGTGGAGAAAATAGGATTTGACCTTTGCGAATCATGCTACAAATGTCCGGCTAAGATACCAGGCCGATTTAATCAGCAGCATAAACCAGACCATCAATTTGAAGTTGTGCAACCATTAAGCATACGCGACCTTATGCTGAGGTTGAACTCGGAACAATCCGATGACGATGACGATGGGGCCTCATATGCTACGGAACATATGGACGGTCCTTCGACATTGTTGGCTGGTGTTCGACTGGACGAAGGTAATGATGGTTCAGAAGAGCCTGAAGATATTTCTCCATTGATATTTTCAGTTGATGTGTCATTGGACCAGGAGGCTGAGGCCGAAGATCCAAGTGGTAATATATCTTCAGGTTTGACTTAGAAACTAGAGACAATTGTGAAGGTTTTTAATGGATATTTCCATAATGCTAATAAATCATTATAACCTTAAATGCCTTTTACCTTAATCCTACCAATTGGTTTTGGATATTAAAATATATGCTCGATTTGGTCGGTTTACAAGTAAAAAAAAAAGAATGTGGTTATTTGAATTTTCTATTCATTCTTAATTATTTTTTTAAGTTTTTATAATATAAAAATAAAGTTTTTTTTTTTAATTATTGGGAAACAACCTTAGTTTCAGAATGGTCCTTAGAGCTTTTTTAGAGTCGAGTGGGGATCAATTCAACTTAATTTAAATAATCGGTGTTTGATTTGAAGTCATCATCGACCTTTAGATTAATCGACTTTTAGATTAGGTAGGATGAGTATTTAAAATTATTTTTAGAATAAATTTTTAAGAAAAATTAAGTTCAAATATAAAAATAGCATGTGTTTAATTAGAAATTCATTTTTAAAAGGGTTTGAGAATCGATTACGTATGAAGAATGTCATAAAGTCTCTCTCGGGGATTCGTTAAACTTTAAAAAATTAATTCAAGGAAAGACGATAAAATTTAGGTTTGAAATAATTTGATTTTGTAGTTACCATCAACCATTAAATTAGGTAGGTTAAATACTTAAAATATCATTTTTAGAAAAATCATTAAAAGACGAAAAATAGTTTACGTTTTACTAAAAATTTATTTTTAAGATATCGAGAGTCGATTATGTGTGCGAAAGGGTGAGCACCCCACAACGCTCAAGTTTGGTACCTAAACGATTATATGATGTCTAAATGTTGGGAAATTATAAACTCGAAAATATATTTAAACTACGATACTTCTATTCATTCGAATTTATTTAAAAAGATGTCAATTTAAAAAAAACTAAAACAATGTTATTTTTCCAAATAAGAATATGATGACATATAATAAAAGCAAGTACAAAAATTAAAGAGAATAAATATAATTTTATGGAGTAAAGTTGTTTATTCAACCCGAAAGATTACAAATAATTTTTATGAGTAAAATCACATCATTTTGTAAGAACAATCCGTGAAAATGCATTTCTTTATAGTTATTAGACTTTTTCATGGATTTCCCTCACAAAATGGTGTTTCTTTAATTTTGTGAATGGTATAGTTTAAAAGAGTATAGTGTTATATTAAATTTTTAGAAATGTTAAGATAAAAAAATGTTTTTTTTGTGAACAATCATCAGGAATGCACTTTTATTGTAGTTAGGAGACTTTTTCGTAGATTCCCCTCACAAAAAGATATTGTCTCACTTTTTTTATCAAAGATAAAAAATAAAATAAAATAAAACAAAATAAAAATAGAACGAGATAAAAATAATAGAATAAAAATGTAAAACAAGACTATCGAATACAAAAAACCTTTTGTGCAAAAAATCTTCAAAAAGACACTTTTCATTATAGTTGAGAGATGTCTTCATTGATTTCCCTCACAACAAGAATTTATCTTTTCTATATATAGCAAAAAATGATGATTTATATAAAAAATAAAGTTTGGATAATACATAAGTGTGCATAAAAATGTAGCAATAAATAAAGATGACAAAATTCGATCTCAAATCTAAAATACGAGTCAAACATTGGTAGCCAACAAGCATAAACGAGGGACCAACATGCAAGCTTTCTAAACCAATAACCAAGATTAAAATACCAGTCGAGTAAGAGGATAAATAAATAAGGTTGAAACGTAAATAATGAAAAGTGTAGGCATTAGATGTAAATATACCACAAGCAAGATCAGTGACTAAAATAAAATGAAGTGTAAGTTAAGATGCTTAAATGCAAATACTAAAAATTAAGTGCTGGAAATTAAAAGGACTGAAATAAAATGTAGGAAAATTAAAGGGCAGAAAAATAAGGTACTAGAATTTAAAGTGCTAGAAAAATAAATAAACTAAAAATAAATAATTTGCATAAATTTAAAAGGTAGGAGGTTGTTTTTAACCGTTTAAATCGGACCATAAATAATGTGAATGATCTTCTAGTCACCACAAGGTCGTTGAATATTCGAATGTTAGAAAATTAACAGTTTAGTTTGTGCAATAAAATAAAATGTTAGTAAGTTAGTAAGAACAATAAAAATAAAAAAATTAATATGTTAGTATGAACAAATAAAATAAGTTGGGGGTTGTTTTTAATCGTTTAATCCAAACCATAAATAATGCGAATCGTACCACAGGGCGGATCACCACAAAATTGTTGAATATTCGAATGTTAGAAAATTAGAGGGTTAGTTTGTGCAATAAAATAAAATGTTAGTAAGTTAGTAAGAACAATAAAAATAAAAGTTAGTATGATCAATAAAAATAAAAAGCTAGAATGTCAGTATAAACAATAAAATAAAAGTTAGAATGTTAGTAAATTAGAAAAGTTAGCGGTTAGTGGTTAGCAGGGTCCGAACCATAGTAATGTGAATCGTACCTCGGATCGAGTCATCACAAGGTCGAATAATATGATAAACAATAAATAAATAAATAAATAACCAATAGTTATAATGCAAGAAAATAAAAATCAATGGTTAATATGCAATAAAATAAAAGTTAGTAGTTAATTTGAAATAAATAATATAGCATAATAGTAACAAAAAAGATAACATACCAAGACAGAGGACTTGAAGCATGATTTTCTCCTGATAGTGACCAAAGCGTGTAACACGCTAAACTTGAGAGGACTTATGGGCGATTAACCCATAAAATTGGTAGCCAAAGTAAGAGACATGATGAAACTGGGGGCCTTCTATGCGATTAAACCAAAAACTTCAAAACAACCCCCAAACTAAAGCAATTCACGGGAAAAGCTGCCAACTCCATAGCCGGTTGAGACACCCTCAAACCAGACAGCTCCAGCCACCGTATCAGCTCCTGCAGCCGAGATTCGGCCGTCAACACTCCCACTAAGTACTGACCACGCCACGGATGACTGGAAAAGTCTCCTAAATGGAGCAAAACAGCTCCTAAAAAGCCTTACTTTCACCATATTTTCCTTTCACTTTTTTTTTTTATTTTTGGCCGAAAGGGCCTAGCCTCCACCACCGCTATCGCCCCATAGCGGTTGCTCTCACCAGCAACCTTCCAAGGTGGCCAACGACAAACAAAAAAACATACCACAACGTCCTACTCAATCTCTAAAACGAAACTCAAAACGAAACTATTTACAACGATGGCTGAACGACCATCGGCTATCGACCTCTGCCTGCGACGCCGACGAGGGCTGACTTCCGACGACAGACTACTCACCACACTTCCCTCTCACTATGTTAATGCTAAGAAAAAAAGAAAAAACAGTATCGAAAATAAAAAGAAACTGAATAAAAGAGAGCTTTCTTTTTTGTTTTTTCTTTCTGGTTTACAAGAAAAAAGGGTTGAATTCTGCTTGCTTTTTGGCTTTTAAAGCCCCATATATTATAAATGGGTAAATTGTTAGCTTAATCCCTGAATTTTGTTTCTTCTTTTATTTTAGGACAAAATTACGGTATTACAACTGCCCCAATTTGCTCATCTATTGTGTAAACAATGACGAAGCAAAGACAAATAATTACCTAATTTTGTCTAGCTATGATGTTTGCTCCGCATCTGGAGCTCCAATTCTCTGTCTGAAAATAGAAGATTTAAATATGACATTGTTCATTCTTGTTGAGGACATTGCTCATCCACGTTGAAGAGATTTGGTCGCTTTCAGATAAATTGTTTGTTGAAGATGACGTTGTTCCTTCTCGTTGGGGAAATCGGGTCAATATGGAGATAATTTGGTGTTGAAGACGACTCCGCTCATCCATGTTGAAGAGATCTAGTCGCTTTCAAATAAATTGTTCGTTGAAGATGACTTTTTTACTTCTCATTGAGGAAATTGGGTCAATCCGAAGATAATACGGTGTTGAAGATGACTCTGTTCATCCGTATTGAAGAGTTATGGCCGCTTTCAGGTAAATTCTTTATTGAAGATGACGTTGTTCCTTCTTGTTAAAGAAGTCTGGTCAATCTGGAGATAATTTGGTGTTGAAGACGACTCTGCTCATCCATGTTGAAGAGATCTTGTCGCTTTCAGATAAATTGTTTCTTGAAGATGACGTTGTTCCTTCTCGTTGAGAAAATCAGGTCAATCTGAAGATAATTTGGTGTTAAAGATGTTCTAGAAGTATTTGAGTAATTTGGAGACAATATGGTTCCTTCGCGTTGAGGAAGTCTAATTGTCTAAGGATGACAATGCTCCTTCACGTTGAGGAGATCTGGTCGGTGGATGACATTGTTCCTTCATGATGAGGAAGTCTAGCCGTTTTAGCAGATAGTTTGGAGACAACACAGTTCCTTCGTGTTGAGGAAGTCTGGTTATCTGAAGATGACACTGCTTCTTCGCGTTGAGAAGATATGGTCAGTGGAAGACATTGTTCCTTTGTGTTGAGGAAGTCTAGCCATTTTAGGAGATAATTTTTCTTTGGAAACAACATTACTCCTTTGTGTTGAGGAGAACTAGTCATAGTTGCCAATGATTGACTTGAAATGGAATCTTCTTCTTCGACATGGAATTGTGAAACGAAGTTTGTGCTAACGTTGAATTCCTGTCAAATATTTGAATGAAAATAAATGAGTGGAAGGACATTTGCTTCAATAGGAGCTATATCATGTGAGATAAAATTTTGTTTCGAGTGGAACATTTCAAAATTTGCATTTCAAGGGAAAACTGTCTCAAGCGAGACGAAATTTGTTTTAAAGAGAAACAATCTCAAATGTTATCACTTTTGTTTCAAGTGAAACAATTTCCAATTTTTGTGTTTTGAGGGAAAACTGTCTTCTAATGTAATTTTATTTTATTTGGAAATACTATCTAATAGAGGAAAATAAAAAAGAGAGTCATGGTATTAGATATAAAGATAAAAATAATATTTGAAATAAAAACCAAAGAAAAAGAATATATATATATATATATATATATATATATATATATATATATATATATATATATATATATATATATATTGTTGGAATGATCCATAAGTTTTTTAGGGCTATGGCGGGAAGTGAT